AACGCCTCGTTCCCCAGAAGGCTTGGCAGCCGGCTCGCTGAGAGGCCCTGTGTGCCTGGGCGCCAGGGACAGGCAGCAGGGCCTGCGAAGTTGGGGTCCTGACTTGAGCCACCCCTTAGCCGAAGGCAACTTGGAGCCCACTCCAAGGTCCCTCGGTGCCCCGCCCCAGGGGCTCTGTCCCGGGGGAGCGAGACGGAGTCCTGAGCCCCCAGAGGGGAATTGGGCTGGCCCCGCCCCAGGATGCACCCGACGGTCAGTACATGCCCACTGGCCTCACCAGCCATGGAGGTGGCCGCCCCGAGAGCAGGGAGTCATCCCAGTCCCCACTAGGATGAAGAGGGTTGGAGCGGCGCTGTGCAGATGTCTGGGAGGCGCTGGCGTGGGTCGGGGTGGCGTGGAGCCAGGAGACCCCCTCCTCACTGAGGAGCTTGGGCAGGCTCACAGCCCTGAGCCTCGGCGTCCCCATCTGTAGGACGGGGATGGGACGGGCAGCCCCACCCTGGGGCCCGTGAAGGGCAGTGCAGTGCGAGGGACCTTGGGGTCCAGAGGATCCTGGCGTGGAGTCGGCGTCCTGTGTGGTGCCAGTCTTCTTCCTCCTCTTGCCCTGGAGGGGCCCAGGTCCCCACTGCAGGTGGAAGGGGGCTGTGTCCCTGGGTGGGGGCTCTCCTGGGTGGGGCTCCTTCACATGCCCCTTAGTGGTCTGGGTTGGTGTCTCTGGGTTTCCATCACCACTGGGGGGCAGTCAGGGTGCGGGGTCCCCTCTGCTCCCTCAGGTCCAACTGTAAGCCTGAGGTCTGTCTCCCCTCCCTGTCCCTGCCAGTGTGTCCTTGGTGGCCCTGGGCGGGTGATGTCACCACACTAGCCCCCCAGTAACCTCTCTGTGCCAGCTCAGTTGGGGGTCAGAGAAGCCCTGTGGTGCACCTCGGTGCCTGTGGGGGGCTCTGTGAGGATGAATAGAACCCTGGCGATGTCCTGAAAATGGGGGCTCCACTCCGTCCTGACGCCCTGGATTGGGGGCCCTCCCCTGCCACCTGCCCATTGAGGGGCTACGCGGCATCCTTGCCGCTGGGACCCTCTGCTCCCCAACTCCCTGCTGGTGGGCTGAGGGGGAGTGGACACCCCGGGCCTTGGCTCCTCCTGCCCCTGGGCAGCACACTGTCCGTGTTTTTCTTTAGATTGACTCAGTCTTAAACTTGAATTCATTAATTTAAACATGATCATTTCCGGAACTGGAAAGCTAGCCTCGCTTGCCATAAATAGAAGGAACGAACAGCAAAGGGAATGAAAACAAAGTGAGCTTATTGGTTTCCAACTGGATCCTGCTGGCGGCTGGGCCCTGAGCCTGCCCAGCCCCTCCCCAGGGAAAGGGTGATTCACACGCTGGAGGCCGGAGGCCTGTAGGAATCCCACCGGTGTACCCCTGTGCACCCCATGCACCACCCCTATCCACCCCATGTACCCCTGTCTATCCCTGAGCTCCCCATGTACTTCCATATGCCACCCCGGCACACCCCATGCACCCCTGTGCACCCCTGCACACCCCATGCACCTCCATGTATCCCCCATGCACCCTTGTCCACCCCATGCACCCCCATGCACCCCTGCACACCCCATGCACCTCCGTGTATCCCCCATGCACCCTTGTCCACCCCATGCACCCCCGTACACCCCTGCACACCCCATGAACCTCTGTGTACCCCCTATGCACCCTTGTCCACCCCGTGCATCCCTGTGCACCCAATGTTTCAGTGGCCCTGGGGTGGGAACAGGACAGCAGGCAGAGCTGAGTGTCAGGCCAGGTGAGGTCTGGGGAGGCCAGGCTGTGTCCTCTTCTTCCACGCAGGCCACCCTGCTCCAGGGGGCCCAGGGACAGACACTGCAGCCTTGCTTCCTTTTCCTGGGCCCTGGCTCTGGGAGGGGGCGGGTCCCTGTTGCTGGGGTCTTTCGGACCGTCAGGGAGAAGACAGGCTGGCCCACCTCTAGAGGGGGAGACTGAGGCCGCAGTCCTGAGCCTGGTCCGGGGCAACATGGAAACCTGGGCCTCGGATAGGAGCTGTGCCTTCCCCTGCCAGAGGGAGGAGGCATGGCTGGCTCCGGAGGAGCTGGTTACATAACATCCAGCGGGCGGGGGCCTCCGCAGCCCAGCCCCCCAGCCTGTTTCCAGTGTGGCGGCCAGCGCTGGGGTGGGGGTGCCGAGCGGGGCTGGGGCTGGCACCCGCCCGCACAGCTGACCACACGCGTCTGGAATGTGCAGATGTTTCCTCGGGGGCTCGGCCGGCCCCCAGACCCCGCCCCGTGTCTGGACGAGGAGGCGGCCACCGGGCTGCTCCCATCTCTTGGCAGAGCAGGAAACTGAGGCAGCTCGAGGTGGCAGGACTTGAGAATGGGGACAGTCCTTGGAGCCTCCTGGACTCAGTGCCCGCTGGCCTGTCTGGCTGACTCTGCTTCCACCTCTGCGTCCCCTGACATGCGTCCCCTGACACAGTGCATGCCCCGACACACATGCATCCCAACATGTGCCCCCAACATGTCCACCCCCCGACAGTGCATCCGCTGACATGCACCCTCCCAACACACGCCCCAGGCCATCGTCAACTGCTGTCCCATCTCCCCCGAGCCAGCTGGGGCCAAAAACCAGCACTCCGAGACTGCCTTGGGGACCTACCCTCCCTCTCCTGCACTGTCCCAGTCTCTGCGCGGCCTGGGGTGTGAGTGGGTGGTTGGGACTCCGGGACCCGGTGCCCCGTGTGGGCATGCAGGGGAGCTGTTGTTGCCCGCCTGACAGGGCAGTCTTGGGGGCCCTCTGGTGGCAGAAGTGGGGACCCTCCCCTCCCTGCTTGGGGCAGGAAGATTGGGGTCAGCGAATGGGGGCACATACGTGAGCCCTGGATGTGCCTCTGTGGGGCTGAGCCCACTGGCCCCACAGGGAGGAGGGTGCCGCAGCCAGGGGGCCACAGGCTCAGGGTTTCCTGTGGACTGAAGGTGTCCCCTCCTCGTGGGAACGTCCAGTCTGGAAGGCAGGGGGAGTTGGGGCCCCTAGAGGGGAGCAGACTGGGCTCCCCAGTGACCAGTGGGGAGCTGTGGGGAGGAGGGGCAGTCCTGGTGTGGGGCAGAACGGGGTCCCCCCTGCTCCCATCTTGGTGGAGTATCGGTCTGGACCAGTGCGGGGAGGCGGTTTGGGAAAGATGTTGAAGAGCAGGGGGCGGGGCTGGCATGAGCCCCCAGTGTGGTGTGCCCTGCCCATGGGTGCTCCCCGTACCCCTCTCAGAGCATGGGGTTAATGCTGGGCGTGGGGCCAGGGGCGCCTGGGGAGGGGCGGCGTGTGTCCTGCTGTCACTGCATGCCCGTCCTCTAGTGAGTGCGTCCCCAGGTCACCCCCACCCCGAGCTGGCCTGCTCCTCCTCCAGCCCTACTCGTGGGGTCTCTGAAACTCGCCGGCTCAGGCCTTGGAGGGGCCTCAGAGGGTCCAGCTGGGGGCTTGTCACTGGCCTAGAGGGTGGCCTTGCTTGACCCAGCTGCTGCAGGGGCGGCTGCGCCCCAGTCCTGGGCTCTGCAGACGCGTGTGGGGGCGGGGTAGCAGGCTGCGATGGATGATGTCACCTGCGGGATGGCTGGCCTGCGGCCTCCTGGCCGGGCCTCGGGGCTCCCCAGAGCAGCAATGGCAGAAGCAGATGGAGATGTGGAAAGGGCTGCTGCGGGCGTGGGGGCTCCGGGTGGTGGGGCTGGTGAGGACCCTCTAGTGTCCCCCTCCAGTGGCCCCCGTGACCCCCTTCAGCATCCCCTGTCTCTCATATCCCCCCAGGCTCCTCCCCAGCACCTCCCCCTTGTCCCCCAGTGGACGCCATTATCCTTGGCCGTCCCCACCCCTGGGGCAGGTTGGGGTCTCGGGCGGAGCCCTGGCCTGCGGTGCAGCCTCTCGTCTGTCCTGCTGTCCTGGTTCACTGCTCAGGCCCTGGGTGCTGGGTGGGATGCCACGCCCCAGGCCCTCTGGGGCTGTTTCTGTGCCAGGGGCTGTGGTCAGACCCTGGGGCGTGGCAGGGAGGCGTCTCGGCGGGGGCTGCCGGGCCCCTCAGTAGGTCCAGCCTCCATGAGGGTGAAACCAGCTGTTCAAGGGGCAGCCTGGAGCCCCAGGGCCAGAGGGGCCTGACACGCTGGTGTGGGCTCTGGCCGGCAGCCAGGGCACTGAGGCCCGACCAGGCCCCTGCCCTGGTTCCCAGCTGCCTGCAGGCACTCAATGGCTGCTGCCCATGATGAGTTTTCCAGAAAATGGGACGTGGGAAGCATCTTGGAGTTTTTTCCTTCTTTCTTTCTTGCTCTGTCAGAGCCTGTGCTGGGAACTTCTGCCCTGGCACCCGGCACTCCTGTGCCCACAAGGAGGCAGGTGCAGGGCCGGGGGTGGGGGGAGCAGGTGGACCCTGTGCCTGACTGCCCTCCTGTCGCTCGTCTCTTTACCCCTCCTCTGGACCAGGGACTCCCGTGCTGTCCTGCTGAGGCACCCGGCTCCCCGGCATCCTCCTTGGGGCCCCCACGGCCTGATTCCTCCTTAGAGGCAGGTTCCACAGCCACTGTCACTTTAAGCCGAAAAACCAAACCCATTGCTGTTGAATCGATTCCGACTCATAGTAACCCTACAGGACCGAGCAGAACTGCCCCATAGGGTTTCCAAGGAGTGGTTGGTGGATTCGAACTGCTGACCTTTTGGTTAGCAGCCGAGCTCTTAACCACTGCACCACCAGGACTCCACTGTCACCTTCGCCACTGGGAAGCCCTCCTTGGGGCTGACTGCAGTTTTTCGTCATACTGTAGGGCATGCCGCTTGAGCAGAGAGGGGAGGTTGGGCACGGGTGCTGGGGAAACGCTGCCCCTGGGTCAGAGTGAGCGCATCTGCCCCAGCTGGGGTTCCACCTGTCGTCGGGCACAGAGGGGAAGAGCGGTGCTGGGGAGACCGTGCATCCTTATCTCAGTGTGCGCTGCGGGGGTGGGGGGAGCTGGGCTCCTGCATGTCCCAGCAGGCTCAGCTGGGACGGGGTGCAGCGGTGACCCTGCCAGGAGGCCCCAAAGACCTGTGCATTCCCGGAGTTCCTGGAGGCAGCACTGTGGGCATGGGCTCCCCAGGTCTGCCCAGGAAGCTCCTGGTGGGACCACCTGCTGGACTAGGGGCAGGGGGTTGTGGTGGGGCCATGCCTGTCCGCGTGCGGAGGAGCTGGCGAGTCTCCCATGTGGCTCTCTGTGAGACGGGGTGCAGGGTGCTGAGGGGGTCCCAGCCCTCTCGCGCCTCAGTCTCCCCAGATAAGCCTTCATTTGGATCTTCCCTCAGAACAGGCCTCTCCTGGCCCCGGGGTGGGGAGCTCGGTGGAGGCTGCAACTTGGGGCACGGTGCTCCTGGGGAGGCCCGGGGTGGCTCTGCCCCAGCCCGGGCCTGGCACTGACTGCGGCCGCTTTGCCCCCCAGAGATATCTCCCACAACCTCCTCCAGGCACTGGACATGGGGCTCCTGGCGAACCTCTCAGCACTGACGGAGCTGTGAGTGCCCCCGGTGGGTGTGGGCAGGGGCGGCTCCTGCCCCATCACGGTTCTCTGGGCTTCTGTCTGACCTGCCTGACTCCCTTTCTTCCAGAGATGTAAGCAACAACAAGATTTCCACGTTAGAAGAAGGAACGTTTGCTAATTTATTTAATCTAAGTGACCTGTGAGTCTGGGGTTATGCGGTGGGCGTCAGTGCCCTTGGTGTTCCCCCATCCACCTGCTCAGCCCCCGTACCCCCCCAAATTTGAGACCAGACTCTGGGTGGTGGGCCCACCTGCTGGGGTCCCCCTCTAGGACCGCAGGCTGGGGAGGCAGCGTCCTGCCAGGGGGTGCCCAGGCCTGGTGCAGCCCCCAGCATCCCTGAGCACGGCCTGCCCCCTCTGCAGAGACCTGAGCGGGAACCCGCTCGAGTGTGACTGTGGCCTGGCCTGGCTGCCGCGCTGGGCGGAGGCGCAGGGGGTGCGCCTAGGGCAGCCCAAGGGACCCACATGCGCTGGGCCAGGCCCCCTTGCCGGTAGGCCCCTGCTCAGCGTCCCCTTCCTGGACGGCGGCTGTGGTGAGTGCAAGTGGGCAGCCGAGGCAGGACCCAGGGCCAGGCAGTGACTGGGCAGGTGCACTGGGCCACTTAGGGCCCTGGTTTGGAAGGTGTGCAGGCGTGGACCCAGAAATAGATGTGTTAGGAGGAGAGTTGTAGACAGGAAATAAACTGGGGGTGGGGGGGGTCTTGTGACAGTGACGGGAGGGGATCAGGGGAGATCTGGCTTGAGGCCTGAAGTGAAGGAAGGCCCCACCACGCCCCAGCCTGAAACAGCCCGACCGGGAGGGGTCTGATCTGGGATCCAGGCCCAGCAGGCCAGGATGCCAGGCAGCGGGGGTCACAGGGCAGGAGGGAAGTGGTGGGGGGTTGTGGTTTGGGGTGTCATGAGCCCAGTCTCTGGCCTTGCCTGCCCCTCCAGGTGAGGAGTACGTTGCCTGTCTCCCTGACAACAGCTCTGGTGCCATGGCACTGGTGGCCTTCTCGGTGGCCCAGGAGGGCCCGCTGGTACCCGAGGCCTGCGGTGCCTTCTGCTTCACTCTGGGCCAGGGTCTGGCGGCGCTCTCTGAGCAGGGACTGTGTCTGTGCGGGGCGGCCCAGCCCCGCAATGTCTCTGCGACCTGTCTGCCCTTCTGCTCTGGTGCCCCGCCACCCCCCGCCTGTGGGGGCCCCACCCTGCTCTCTCATGTCTTCCCTGCCACCCCGGGGGCCACCCTGGAGGGGCCCCTTGGGGCCCTGGCCGCTGGCCACCCAGCAGCCTTCCGCGTCACCACTCCCCTGCCCATTGGCTCTATCTTCTGGGACTTTGGTGACGGCTCCCCTGAGGTGGACGTCACTGGGGCGGCTGCCACGCACCGCTACCTGCTGCCCGGGCGCTATCAGGTGACAGCCCGGTTGGCCCTGGGAGCCGCCTCAGCCCAGGTGGCCACTCAGGTGTGGGTGGAGGCAGCCCCTGCCGCCCTGCAGCTCCTGTGCCCGTCCCCCGTGCGCAGCAACCAGAGCCTCCAACTCGGCGTCCGAAATCGGGGCGGCACGGGCCTCACGGCCGCCTACAGCATCACAGCCCTGGATGAGGAGCCGGCCCGAGGTGTGGGTGCTCCCCAGGCCGCTAGGCCCCCGCAACCCCTGCCTGCCCTACTCGCTGGACCTTAGGACACCCACAGCCTTCTTCCCCTCCTGGACCTTCCCGGCTGGGACCCTGGGACCTGTCCTGCCCTGCCGTCTCTCCCCTCTGCCAGGCCCCCAGGAGATCATGCAGTCTCCTCAGCCCAGGTGAGGCCTCCTCAGCCCGTGCCATATGCTTATGTCCCGTTCTCTGCCCGTGACACAGTGGTGCACCCCCTCTGCCCCTCGGACACGGAGATCTTCCCTGGCAATGGGCACTGCTACCGCCTGGTGGCGGAGAAGGCGGCCTGGGTGCAGGCACAGGAGCAGTGCCGGGCCTGGGCGGGGGCCGCCCTGGCCATGGTGGACAGCCCCGCCGTCCAGCGCTTCCTCATCTCCCACGTCACCAGGTGCTGCCCCTGTGCTGGAACCGGGTGTTTTCTCCCCTAAGCTGGCGCTGACGACTGCCCTGCGCTCCACATGTGCACCTGCTGTACCTGTCCCTGCCCCACACCTGCCCCCGTGCCCGCATCCTCGTCTACACCTGCCCCCGTGCCCGCATCCCCGTCTCCACCTGCCCCCGTGCCCGCATCCTCGTCTACACCTGCCCGTGTGCCCGCATCCTCGTCTCCACCTGCCCCCGTGTGCCCGCATCCTCGTCTGCACCTGCCCGTGTGCCCGCATCCTCGTCT